ATGGATGGGTCAGACTTATAGATGATTTTACTTGTTATTAGCATTTACAATTTTCTAAAAACTGCATCTCTACCCTCAAAATTAAGCTTTTTGCTATTTTATAATAATTAATAACAAAAGTTTTTAAATAAAAGCTCATAACAGATGGTACCAAATGCAATTTTAATGAGTTACAGGAAAGTTACACAACTTGTTGCTGAATTTTCTTATGTTATTATAGTTATCTTAAAACTTAAAATTCAAAATAATATCTAACAATGAAGGCAGAAAACACTTTGGAAACATTTCTTTATTTAAAATATAATTACCATACCAAAACTATAAATTATTTATTAAAACTATAACTTCTTAACTTTCCACTTTTTTTTTTACTCTTTCTTTGCTAACTTAGTTTGCTTAATTCAGAATTTTTATGTTTTTGAGAAAATGTTCAACAAACTTTAAGTAACACATATTCTTACCATCATGATTTTGCAATAAAATTGACAGTATTTCACTTGTATATAATTTGTTTGCATCAAATGGCATTTTTGCCTGGAAAAAAAAAAATGTTATTGCTTAAGTACAGTTAAATTTTTTTTAGAATTTCAAATCTAATACAAACCTTTAATCTCTTTAATATCCATTGCATTAGACCTTGTTGTGCAGTTTCTACACATAATAATGGTTTGAATTCAGTCAAATTTTCTATAATGCCTAAAGTAATAAAACATTAAAAATATAACATTTAAATTTCAAAATATTTATTTTTAAATGTTGAATATTATATAAAGAACACCATTTCAATGTATACCTAAAGTATTATGAACACCTTCTGCATCTTCTTTGATTGTTTCATCTAACCTTTCTAAATTCTGAACCATAAGAGCAACAACTTGCCCATCAAGCTGAAAATATCAAAAACTATATTTATAATTTGTATTTGTAGATTGAAAATTATTATAAAATTAACAGTAGTATTTTATGGAAACAACATAAAAATAATTAATAGAAATCTAGGGAAAACTACAAAGAATATTCCAGATTGAAAATATTCATATGAAACATACTTATCTATTAAAAATACAAGCTAGAAAAAAATTATTAATTAATAACATCATTAAACATAAAAAACAAAAAANGTAAGGCTTTTACAATTACAGTAAAGTGTTGTTTATCCGACAGCCAGTCAACTGAAAGCGTTCGAGTCGGCAAATTTAAATTTCCACTAGTGCTGTGGCAACCTTTGGCTACGTCTTGGGCTACTCCAATAGTTTTTTGTTGGTGTGTGTGTTTTAGCTGGCAGCACTGGCATTTTTGAGAAATGTTTTTCTGAGGACTGTGTGTCATGCTGAATCGAACGTTTTTGATACTAGATTAACTTCTAATGTATTTTTTTTTTTGTTTTGTTTTTATATTTTTCAATATATTTATTTTGTTTGTACAAAATAAAGAAATAATTTTTAATGATACAATAGCCACGATTATTATTATAAAAATTTTCATTAGGCTTAACATTGACAAAATTCAACGTAAACGGAGAAAAATTTCAACATGGGATAGGTTAATATATTTTTTTGTACATAATTGGCTATCTGAAAAATAAGTTATCCGAACAACCCTAGTCATCAATTGATTCGGATAAACGACGCTCTACTGTACAATGATCTATCACAATGAGGGCATTCAAAGTCATTGAAGTTTAGGGTTTATCTTTGAACATAAATTATTACAGCATGCTTCAATGTTCCAAAGTTTGTATTTTTGTTAAAAGTGAGCTTTAAATGTCTTTAAATTTCCTTATGCCATAGATTGTTGTATTATTCTTAGTAACTGCTATCAAAATGTAAATAGCTGTACACATTTTATTTAAAAAACAAAAGTGACCTTAATTTCACCTTAATGTGTTCACTCAAGGTTAAATTACTCTTTATCCAATTGCATCATCTTTGCCACCATACAACCTCTAAGAAACAGGACCTTGATAGTTCACTTACTATAAGTATTATTCAAGGTAGAAATAGTTATTGCCTCACCCTGTATAATGATACATAAATATGTGAATAAATATTTCAGGAAAATGTAATATTAGTATCATAATATTCTACATTTAACAATGGCTAAATTTTCTAATATACAAAGTGACAATAAAGATTTATACAAGTATTATAAGATTCAATTTTTTGAAACATAATTAATGAAAACTTACAGCAAGTTGCTGGAGTAAAACATCAATTCCATCAAGTTCACCCAACAATTTCCTATTATCTAAAAATAAATTTTATTTCATATATTTAAAGTTCATCTTTTTTCAATTATTTGATTTGTTTATAACTTAATAACAAGAAGTTTGATCTGAATTCTTTAGAACAAAATCCAAAATAAAATTATAACTTTACTGAATAAATATTTTTGAATTAACCTCTGGCTTCAATCCAATATAATCTTAAACATTAAAATAATCATTGCAACATAACAAAACTGAAACAATTGCATTTAACAAACAATAATCAATATTCAAATTTACAAATAACTTTAAATTTTTAAACATTTTACTTTTGGAAAATTAATGTAACATTTTAAAATTTAATAAATATAAATGCATACTCTGTAAAAAAGTGAAATAGTGTAATTTTACATTATTATTATAGGATAAACATAAATAAAACATGTGTAATTACATTAAACTTTCAAATGTTCTTGAATTTAACAAATTTACAAGAAAATATTATAAAACTAAATAACACTTTATATCATAACAAAGATGAATATAATTAACAAGGTTTACTCATCTCTACCCAGACAATAGAATTTAATACAATCATCCATGTATAATATAAAAACTAAGCAATAAATTAATGTTACATACAATTTAATTTATGCTTGAATATTTCAAAGTATTTTCTATAAGCAATTTCTCTATCTTATATAGAAACCTTAACTCTATAATTAAAGCTAAAATTATAGAGAGTAACACAGTAAATTAATTAAAAAATAAATTACAGAATGTATGTATTAATTCTAAAAAATATTGAAAAATTATGGCTTGAAAATTTTCATTAAAACCAGTGATAAACTAAAACTTACATGTTAAAACTTGTATATGTTTTACATTATTTTTGTTAATTAGTTTACTTTTACACATATATTATATTATCACTTTTCATATAACTGTAATTAAATCTGAATTTTATTTTTGTTCAAACTCTTCAAACTTTACCGGAATTCAAATATTCTACTTTTGAACAGCTACTTAAAACCCAAACAACTATTAAGCAAGTTGAAAATTGTTTTATTAAACACTTGTAAAAGCTAAAGTTATTGCTCTGAACTTACAAAAACTAAAATTGAATAAAATTTAATTCTGTGATTTGCCAAGTGTCTGTATGAATACGATAAATAATTTGTGTTTGAATTGGAAAAACTGAAATATTAAACATGAAAAGTATTATAATACAAAGTTTAAAATGATTAGCATTTATATAGAAATTACTAAAATCCAGAAAGCAAATTACACTTCCTTTGGTTTCTTGTATAAATAAGCTGATTTCATTTTGCTTAAGTGTTTTCAAGGTTAATAACATTACTCTATTTATAATAACATTTTTGTTAAGTATTTTAATTTTTTATATTACTTATAATTTCTTAAATTTTGCTGTATAATTGAGAGCTGTTGATTTTGTCAGTTAAACTTCTTTTTATGATATGAAGTAATGCAAACATTAAAATATTTAAAATTTATTATTATTTGTAAATTTAAATATTAAAAATCTGAAATTTATAAAATAAAAAAAACCTCAATTTTTATTTTCTCAGTTGCAATATATGCTACTATGCATATGTAGCTAGAACTATTTCTAAGATTATCAGCACAAAACCTTTCTCACTAATTTCTAGCCTTATTATGGTTATATATGGTTATATATCTACAACTGGTATATGATATATGGAACAGAGGTCAATATATGGTTATATCTGGTGATCAGTCAAAAAATGACCCACCCAAGTTTTTAGACTTAGGACTTGTATCATCAAGAAATGCAAAAAAGTTTTGTTCTTTTCTGTATATATGAATGTTAGTGTAATTATGTGTAGGTGGGTGGCACAATTTTATTTACCCACTTTAAAGCTTAATAATTCCCATACCTTTTGTTGAAAATTTATGAAATTTTGCAAGGAGGTTTGTGTATTAAGGGGATTGATGGTATGAAGTGGTAAAAAATCAAAAAGTCAGGAAGATAGAGGAGGGTCATGTATCATATCTCAAGTAGAGCCAGACGAGATTTTATTTGTTATTTACAATTTTTTTTTAAAAAAACTGCATCTCTACCCTCAAAATTAAGCTTTTTGCTATTTTATAATAATTAATAACAAAAGTTTTTAAATAAAAGCTCATAACAGATGGTACCAAATGCAATTTTAATGAGTTACAGGAAAGTTACACAACTTGTTGCTGAATTTTCTTATGTTATTATAGTTATCTTAAAACTTAAAATTCAAAATAATATCTAACAATGAAGGCAGAAAACACTTTGGAAACATTTCTTTATTTAAAATATAATTACCATACCAAAACTATAAATTATTTATTAAAACTATAACTTCTTAACTTTCCACTTTTTTTTTTACTCTTTCTTTGCTAACTTAGTTTGCTTAATTCAGAATTTTTATGTTTTTGAGAAAATGTTCAACAAACTTTAAGTAACACATATTCTTACCATCATGATTTTGCAATAAAATTGACAGTATTTCACTTGTATATAATTTGTTTGCATCAAATGGCATTTTTGCCTGGAAAAAAAAAAATGTTATTGCTTAAGTACAGTTAAATTTTTTTTAGAATTTCAAATCTAATACAAACCTTTAATCTCTTTAATATCCATTGCATTAGACCTTGTTGTGCAGTTTCTACACATAATAATGGTTTGAATTCAGTCAAATTTTCTATAATGCCTAAAGTAATAAAACATTAAAAATATAACATTTAAATTTCAAAATATTTATTTTTAAATGTTGAATATTATATAAAGAACACCATTTCAATGTATACCTAAAGTATTATGAACACCTTCTGCATCTTCTTTGATTGTTTCATCTAACCTTTCTAAATTCTGAACCATAAGAGCAACAACTTGCCCATCAAGCTGAAAATATCAAAAACTATATTTATAATTTGTATTTGTAGATTGAAAATTATTATAAAATTAACAGTAGTATTTTATGGAAACAACATAAAAATAATTAATAGAAATCTAGGGAAAACTACAAAGAATATTCCAGATTGAAAATATTCATATGAAACATACTTATCTATTAAAAATACAAGCTAGAAAAAAATTATTAATTAATAACATCATTAAACATAAAAAACAAAAAATATTTATATACAGGAAGATAACAATTTAAACTCTTTCAATAATAAAAATATTATATTAAAAACATTTTTTGTATTATTTTTCACATATAAAATGAATACTTTTTGTATATTAAGTGTAAACCAGTCATACACAATTTTTATATGATTATGATTTAAATATTATAAAAACATATTATTAAATTGTTTTCTACATTGAGAATAATAAATGCTTCTTTTATACTTATCAAGTTATGAATGGAATCCATTACATTTTCAATTAAATAAGTAAAAATTATACATTTTTAAACTAAATATCCAAACTTTCATCAGCAACACAAATTAAGAATGCTTTTGTCTAAAATTAGTGTTTAAAAGTTATAATCAATTAATAAAATATTCACAATAAATCAATGAGTAAGATAATACTCTAAATCGGTGGATATTTGTGTCTTGAAAACACTAACATTCTGTAAGCAACCTTCAAAGGTTTTGCAAACATATTAATAAGAACTTTTCATTCTTTTCACTAAAAACATTAAAAAGTAAAAATTACTGTACCCTGTCTAATTATAATACACTATATAACTTAGAAAACAAAATCAACATTAAAATCTTTCATACACATATTTTATTTCTTTAAACTATACTGCTTAATGTAAAAATACTAAAAATTATGCAGATGTTAAAAGTTTAGATAATTGCTCCAAACAATTAGCATAATTATAGTTATTAATTATTATAATTAACAAAATGCCAATTTTTTAACTTAACAAGTTTTAAATTTTTGTCTAAAAACAGAACTACCATATTATAAAAAATGTAATTTTTAAAATGCACTTTTTCGTTAAGGAGTAAATAAATTTTTAAATATGTGCCTATATCTGTGGTTCCCAAACAGTGTGCTACAGCACCCAGAGCTACCACCAAAACTAGTCAGGAATGATGCAACTGTGTTATCCATTATTAGTGATGCTCTGGTAACATTTGTGCAGTGCTTTTTTGTATGCCTGTTTAAATTGTGTATATTGAAATCCAACTTTTTAAAATAAGTGTATAAAAAATAAATACAAGTTTTTTTTTATTTTTTTTCCTAGAATTAAGTTACACTCTTTCTCTGCTAATACAAAAAAAAAAAAAAAGATATAGAAACAATTTCTTACAGACATTTTTGTTTCTGTTTTGTGATTGATCTTACAATTAAAATTTGTAGTTAATGCATGTGTGGTATATGAAAATAATTATACTACATACATTTTATATAATATAATATAGTCTTTATTCTTTGAATAAGGGCTTATATTTTCTTTATTTGTTTATATTACTTAATCATAATACCAACACATTAATTACTCTTAGGTAGAAATAGTACTACCTTGCACTTCAAAAATATATACTGTATATGGAAACCACCACCAAATGGCAGAAGATTAAGAAAACCAATATGTAAATGTTTAAAAAATATATTTATCCTTTAACTTATTTATAAATTCAAAATAGAAAGTTTAAACAGCAATAGAATTGAAATTGTCTTGAATCCAATGTTTAATAATTATAATCAAAGTACTGTATATGAAATCTATTTATATTTCCATCATTTTTGATTATTATATCAAATTACTTACTAATGCATCTATTAATACAGTAGCACCTTCTTGACTCTCATGCAAAGTGTCAATATCAGTCATTTCTTGAAGTAAATCTACAATGGCAATTGCTATATCTGTAATAAAAATGATACACTTAATTGAAATATTATGAAAAAATTTAATAATTTATATCATTATACAAATTTTACCAGAATTTTCATGAGTGAGTAATCCAAGAATCGTTGAAATGGCATTTAATTCCACTAATACATTATATAAATCAGGTTGAGTAGCAATTATGTGCATTTCTTGAATTATATCATTAAGTTCAATTTCTGAATCCATAAATCTAAAAATAAATGAATGAATGATAAACGATTCATTAAATACAGATATATGATTTATAAATTATTATTATAATTATTTTANAAAAAAAAACCTCAATTTTTATTTTCTCAGTTGCAATATATGCTACTATGCATATGTAGCTAGAACTATTTCTAAGATTATCAGCACAAAACCTTTCTCACTAATTTCTAGCCTTATTATGGTTATATATGGTTATATATCTACAACTGGTATATGATATATGGAACAGAGGTCAATATATGGTTATATCTGGTGATCAGTCAAAAAATGACCCACCCAAGTTTTTAGACTTAGGACTTGTATCATCAAGAAATGCAAAAAAGTTTTGTTCTTTTCTGTATATATGAATGTTAGTGTAAGTATGTGTAGGTGGGTGGCACAATTTTATTTACCCACTTTAAAGCTTAATAATTCCCATACCTTTTGTTGAAAATTTATGAAATTTTGCAAGGAGGTTTGTGTATTAAGGGGATTGATGGTATGAAGTGGTAAAAAATCAAAAAGTCAGGAAGATAGAGGAGGGTCATGTATCATATCTCAAGTAGAGCCAGACGAGATTTTATTTGTTATTTACAATTTTTTTTTAAAAAAACTGCATCTCTACCCTCAAAATTAAGCTTTTTGCTATTTTATAATAATTAATAACAAAAGTTTTTAAATAAAAGCTCATAACAGATGGTACCAAATGCAATTTTAATGAGTTACAGGAAAGTTACACAACTTGTTGCTGAATTTTCTTATGTTATTATAGTTATCTTAAAACTTAAAATTCAAAATAATATCTAACAATGAAGGCAGAAAACACTTTGGAAACATTTCTTTATTTAAAATATAATTACCATACCAAAACTATAAATTATTTATTAAAACTATAACTTCTTAACTTTCCACTTTTTTTTTTACTCNGAAATGTATAAAATTACAGTACTGTATTAGACTTACAGTACCTAATTTATATACTGTACAGACGATAGTAAACTCAACTTACCCGCCTAAACTCTCCATAGCATGTAAGTAGTTCAGCTGCTCGTCCACTATTGGTCCAGATTCGACCAATCCTGTCATGACACGAGTCGGTGATGACATTTTACCACATTTTATGAGTCTGTTTTAGCGTCTTTATACGAATACGGTCGCAATTTTTTTGCCGCGATATATGAATCCGGATTATATGAACCCGCGTTATAGGGGGTCTACTGTATATACTTTATATATACATTCAAAAAAATTTTAATTTTAATTTGACTAGTTATTTCTGACTCCTTTACTTAAATACAGTATATAAGTCCATTAATATGAATAACTCTGTTGTAATTAGTTCAGACTAGTAAGAGTTCAATATATTTCTAAAATAGGTTTTTATGAAATAATTATTTTCACATGAATAAATCAGACTACTGGAGACTCAAGGCAAATAATAGAATGTATAAATTTTAAAGTGATATATTAGAATTCCTTTAAAATGTAAAAAGATATGAAAAGTAGAAATTTTTTAAACTATTTTTTTGTTAATTGGATATGAAACCTTATTAAGGTTTCATATCCAATTAACAATAAGGTTCCATAAGGTTCCTTAATAAGGTTCCATATCCAATTGGATATGGAACCTTATTTACCTGATATGAAACCTTATTAAGGTTTCATAATAAGGTTTCATATCCAATTAAAAAAAAAGCAAATAGAGAAAGACAAAATTACTGTTGATAAAACTGAAATAAATATTCCTTTAAATGTTAACAATTTAATTTAAAAAAGGTTTTAATAGAAGCTCTAATCAAGTGGAAGACACTAGTCTAATACACACATAATGAAACATAAAAAATAATTTATAAATTATTAAAACTAAATATACTTACAGGTGCTTCTGCAAGGATATCATCTGCAGTTTCTGGTTTTTCTTCTTCTGGAAGAACAGTGACTAATGGCTGTTGTGAAAGTGATTGAACAGGGGTAGATGCTATAACAGACAAATATTAATTATTCAATTTTATATATATTGTATAATAATAGACTATAATTAGACTCCATTAATTTAAGATATTAAAGATAATATAAATAAAAAGTTTAACTATTAAAATTTATTGATTTAATGTTATTACAGTATTATTATTTTAAATCTATTACACCAACTATTAACAAAAGTTAGAAATTTTAAGAATTATTCACAAATAATGAATTATTTATAATGTTTAACATTTTTGAAACTGAAATATGACTATTTACAAAAGTTNGTTAAGTATAAATAAAATTCATTTATAACATTGGATATAAATATAATAAAATTTTCTGGCATTTAAACGAATAGAAGAGGACACGAAAGAGGACAATTTCACTCATCTTGACCTCCCTAATTATAGAAGGGGAAAGAATAGAAAGACATTTCCACTTGTTTTGAGAGGAAGACATCGATTTAAATGTATATGAAACTGATTAAATTCTTAAACAATTACTTTAGAAAGTTATTGGATTAAATAAAATTCAGTACAAATTATTTAAAATATTAATTTGTTAAATTGTAATTATTCAAAGAACGAGAATTTATACTATTTAAGCTTACACTTTTCGAATATATTTTATAATCTAAAATTACAGAGTAAAGGTCAAATTGTCAACGCTTTAAACATTATTCGGTTAATTTTCAAGCAGATCAATAAAATATATCTCTAAAATTTAGTTAAAATTAATATCTATTTCTTTAAAAAGTATATGTATATATATAATAAAGCCTTAAGGTTTATTATAAGGTGCTAGAGGGTGCTAAGTCCAGACTGTGTGGAAGTAATGGATCATCCTGCTCATAGTCCGGACTTGGCACCCTCTAATTTTTATCTTTGTGGACCTTTTAAGATACATCTCAGTGGCTTACACTTCTCAGATGATGATGAAGTTAAAGATGCGGTCATGGACTTTTTCAAATCATTAAGTGGAGAATATTTGCTCTTGACTCACGCTAACAAAAGTGTATGGAAAAAAATGGCGACTATGTAGAACAACAGCTTAGACTGAATAGTTTCAAATAGCTAATTTAAAAATTTAATGTAACTTGTCATTAAGGATTGGGCCTTACTTTTGGTACATATCTTGTAAAACAATTATTAGATGTAACAGCAATATTTTTCATCAGATCGGTACATGAGATAATGAATAACGTGAATAAAACGGTAAAATGGCTGAATGGATAAGAATACTGGACATTGAGGTCACGGGTTCGCATATCATCGAAAGGTGCGAACCCGCGCTTCACAACTGATTGGCCACACAAATTTTTCCGGATTTTCTTTACGTGTCTAAAACAATAAATTAACTGTTAGATATGAAGTAAATGCTCACATTTCTACTGATATAAACCTCATAGAAAATTGTTTAATTAATTTTTTATTTTGGTTCAATGTCAAACTTGGTGAATTTATTGACACTTGGCAAATAATTTCATCATCAACTTTTAATCCATATAGACACGCGTTTCGGGCTTTCGACTCTCTTCAGTCTGTTACATAGATAGGTTGTATCTTGTGTATACAGTATCTGTCAGGCACCTTCCGTACTTCTCACTCCCCTTCCCTTCCCTTCTGACTTGACGGCCTCCCCCGCATACCTCGCAACGTGCAACGTCTCACTTCCAGAGTGCTGCACACAGCTCGCCTGCGACTATATAAACATTCTATTTTAATAGTTGTAGCCAGTTTTTATAAATTTCTATGCTTAAATTCTTGTTAATATTATTTTTGTCTGTGGTAATTTCGTAGCTTTCCTTGAATTTTCTTTTGTACCAATTTTTTTCTTTGTGTACTATTATAACATCATTCTTATCTATTTTGCAGTTGTGGGTTGTGCAATGTTCATAAAAAACAGACTTGATTCTATTATACTTCAGATCCACGATGTGTTCTTTTAATCTTGTTTCTAATTTTTGTTTTGTTTCTCCAATGTATACTTTTGGCGGTTCGCATGTGCAGGGTATTTTTATAGACGACTTCGATAGTGTTGTATTTGTCTGGTTGTTTATTTATGCCAGGTTCAGCCTTCCGGATTCTTTTTTGCAAGTTGTTATAGGTTGGGGCTAGCTTTATATTTATTTTATCAAAACTTTTGTTTACCTGTTCAAAGAAGCCACGAATGTAGGGGAAGGATATGTATCTTACTCTGTTTTTATCTTTGTTTTGTTTATTTTCCAGCCTTTTATTGTTGATTTTACTTTCCCTGTTAATTATTATTCGTTTTGGATAGCCATTTAATAGTAATTTAGTTTGCAGTTTGTTGAGGTGTTTTTTCTTCTTCTGTAGTGAACTTGTTCTGCTCTCAATTTTTTTATACTCTATGATGAATATGTTTTCTTTTATGTACTGTGGAATGTTTTAATTGTAATTTAACACTTTCCTGATCTCGCATGGTTTTGTGTATGGCTCGAATTCAATCTTATTTGCCTTTCTGGATATTTTAATATCGAGGTAATTTATTTCAGTGTTTGCCTCATTTTCTACCTTGAATTTGATGTTATCGTTTAATTTGTTTATTTTTTTCTTCTATTTCTTCTAATTTTGTTATTTCTTGGTTATATAGTATAATTATGTCATTCACATATCGTTTATAGAACTTTATGCCTGTAATCTTTTTTGATTGCTTGATCTATATCTACCATAACAAGTTCTGCTAGCTTCGGGCCTGTGACTGATCCCATGCTTATGCCTGTCTGTTGTGTGTAGAACTTATTGTTGACTTCAAAATAATTACTCCTGTATATGAATTCTATTAGATCCATTTCTTCTTCCTTTGTTTCCTCTGTATACAGGAGTAATTATTTTGATGTCAACAATAAGTTCTACACACAACAGACAGGCATAAGCATGGGATCAGTCACAGGCCCGAAGCTAGCAGAACTTGTTATGGTAGATATAGATCAAGCAATCAAAAAAGATTACAGGCATAAAGTTCTATAAACGATATGTGAATGACATAATTATACTATATAACCAAGAAATAACAAAATTAGAAGAAATAGAAGAAAAAAATAAACAAATTAAACTATAACATCAAATTCAAGGTAGAAAATGAGGCAAACACTGAAATAAATTACCTCGATATTAAAATATCCAGAAAGGCAAATAAGATTGAATTCGAGCCATACACAAAACCATGCGAGATCAGGAAAGTGTTAAATTACAATTAAAACATTCCACAGTACATAAAAGAAAACATATTCATCATAGAGTATAAAAAAATTGAGAGCAGAACAAGTTCACTACAGAAGAAGAAAAAACACCTCAACAAACTGCAAACTAAATTACTATTAAATGGCTATCCAAAACGAATAATAATTAACAGGGAAAGTAAAATCAACAATAAAAGGCTGGAAAATAAACAAAACAAAGATAAAAACAGAGTAAGATACATATCCTTCCCCTACATTCGTGGCTTCTTTGAACAGGTAAACAAAAGTTTTGATAAAATAAATATAAAGCTAGCCCCAACCTATAACAACTTGCAAAAAAGAATCCGGAAGGCTGAACCTGGCATAAATAAACAACCAGACAAATACAACACTATCGAAGTCGTCTATAAAAATACCCTGCACATGCGAACCGCCAAAAGTATACATTGGAGAAACAAAACAAAAATTAGAAACAAGATTAAAAGAACACATCGTGGATCTGAAGTATAATAGAATCAAGTCTGTTTTTTACGAACATTGCACAACCCACAACTGCAAAATAGATAAGAATGATGTTATAATAGTACACAAAGAAAAAAATTGGTACAAAAGAAAATTCAAGGAAAGCTACGAAATTACCACAGACAAAAATAATATTAACAAGAATCTAAGCATTGACATT